ACATGCTGCCGCTATTTCAGCTTATCACGACCACTTAGATGGCAAAACAGTGGGGAAGCACGACCTGGTCGTCAGGTTTCTTAGGGGGGCGAGACGATTGAATCCTCCTCGACCCCCCTCCATACCCTCTTGGGATCTTCCCCTGGTGCTTCGAGCACTTCAGGATGTTCCCTTTGAGCCTCTGCAGTCAGTAGACTTAAAGCTTCTTTCCATGAAGACTTTGCTACTGGTTGCACTGGCCTCTGTCAAGAGGGTAGGAGACCTGCACGCATTTTCGGTCGACGAATCGTGCCTAGAGTTCGGGCCGGGTGACAACCATGGACCCCGGCCTGGCTATGTGCCCAAGGTTCCTACCACTCCCTTCAAAGACCAGGTAGTGAACCTGCAAGCGCTGCCTTTGGAGGAGGCAGACCCAGCCCTGGCTTTGCTCTGTCCCGTTCGCGCTCTGCGTATGTACGTGGACAGAACTCAAAGCATCAGGACCTCAGACCAGCTCTTTGTCTGTTACGGAGGCCAGCAGAGGGGAAAGGCTGTCTCCAAGCAGAGGATGGCCCACTGGATAGTGGATGCCATCGCCTTGGCTTACCAAGCTCAAGGCGTGCCCTGCCCGCTCAGGTTGCATGCACACTCCACGAGAGGCGTTGCATCCTCCTGGGCGCTGGCACGTGGCTCCTCGCTAACAGATATCTGTAGAGCTGCGGGCTGGGCGACACCTAACACGTTCGCTAGATATTATAGCCTACGTGTAGAGCCGGTCTCCTCCCGTGTTCTCACCCTAAACGGGTAGAAGCACCGAGAGGCCCGGCTCTGTCGGCTTGCTGCACCCTACTGTGCACCCTTATTGCTCCAGAGTGAAAAACCTGTTGAGTCCTCCAAAAACCCCTCGGCCCGGACATGGCGGAGCGTCCAGGTGCCAGGCCTTTATCCGCTGAATCCTTGAGAACCGGATCTGGGCTGGGTTCCATATGTGTGACCCTACGGGGATCCCATATGTGTATATTTTCCACGGCTGCTCCTAACGGAAGCCCGTGTCTTTCCCTTGGGCTAAGTCACCCACTATCTCATATGTAGTACAGCCTTCGGGCTAGTCCATATGTATTCCCCACATAACTCCTTGAAGTAAGTGGCTTCCGCAGCGTCCTCCTTCCTAACTGAGGGGCACGCTTTCCCAGTGTTATCCAATAATCTCACTGTATGGGTTATTACGGAACAACAGTGACAGATACACTCTGTGTGTAGCCTCCTCCTATCGTCCTTCTAGGCAAGAAGGTGTAGAGGCTTGCATGGGGCGCTGGATGGGGTGCAGCAGCTGTGGCGCTTTGGTAGGGATTCCTATTGGTCAGTCTGACCTACGTTGTAGTGACTGACCGATAGGGAACGTCTCGGTTACATATGGTAACCCTCGTTCCCTGAGGGAGGGAACGGAGACGTAGGTCCCGTCGCCACATCTGCTGCCGCCCGCTGGGGCGGCCAGCTTTTTCAGGTTTGGCTCCTCAGCAAAAAACTAGCGTGCAATCATAACAGCTGCTGTTAAATACCCGCGCTGACGAGGACGCGCAGCTGATGCAAATGATTGCATGCCAATGTGCATTGGCTTGTTTTAGTTTCACTCGAAGTAGATTGGCCTCTCTAGCGAGATTCCTATTGGTCAGTCTGACCTACGTCTCCGTTCCCTCCCTCAGGGAACGAGGGTTACCATATGTAACCGAGACGTTCTCAATAACGTTTCACATTTCTCAATCTCAATTTTAATTGTCAAGTTCTCAACCATAGTTTAATATTTGACTTAAGATTTCTCTTGGAGTTTATCAATCTCCAATTAGGATTCACACTAAGTTTGACGAGGCAAGCACTCTCTGCTTGTGAAACTTTTGCAGTTATGGTAAATCATCTGTGAGATTAGTCTCTCTATATCATCTAAAACCTTTTTAAAAATTTTAATGGCAACACAATCATCCTTTTAGTTACTTTGATATATTCTGCAACTCACATTTGTTGGAGTCATTCATTTTACATCAACCTGTATTCATCAATTCACTTATAAAAATTAGTATTATAGATCTTTTCTTCAAAAGGGTTCGTGTGTCAGCCTCAACGGCTCCAACTTACTACACGCCCTTGAAGCAGTGTGTGTCCCATTCAGGAATGTAAACAGAGCTACTGATTAAGCAGTTCTCTGTATTCTTTTACAGTCCACCAGTGGCGGATTTAATCATAATAGCCCAATCATAATCTTCATCATTATTATTGGCAGAACATTAATTTTCATAAGCTGCAAAATATTCTAAGTTGTTTTCACAAAGTGTCTGTTTAACTTTAGTCGCTTGTCGAGGGAAATTATCCCTGACCCAGAATTTCTTTCACTTGCTTCTTGTAATCATCGTAAGCAATACGAGGCTAAACATTTTAATTTTTCTGTTTCTTTGTTTGTTTGTAGCCAGTCAAGTTGTTTAAATTTCCAATCAGAATCAAAATCCTGACTACCATTTACTTAATCATTTCTGCAAATTTATTTAAAGTGAGGGCTTTAGAGCACAGCTGCTTACAGCATTTGCTTTCCTGTCTCACTATTTGTTTCAGGACTGTTCAGGTTACTGTCATATCTTAATCATGGTTCATACTCACCTGAAGTTATTGCAGAAATGGAGGCGGCGATCTTTGAACAACACAGCTTGGCTTCTGCGTGATGAAACTGCAAAGTATACTCCAAAATCACAGTTACATATACTGGTCCATGCCAATTTGGGTCACAACTTTTTTAATTTTTCTCTCGGAATCGTTCCTGATGCATCCCTGGCAAACAACCCTATTATTGTTAGTATCCCTAACTGCCTGATTCACTTTACTAAGTTCGGGGATCCCCTATCTGAGATGGAAGAGATTGAGCAGGTTTACGGTGCCACTGGACCTCTAGCCCAGAGACGTACTCTGCTGGGGTGGTGCTACACCAGTAATGCCCAGCGGGGCCCCCACAGAGCACGCTTCGCTTGCGCTGTCTGCTGCCGTTACCCTTAACGACGCTCTCAGCGACTTCTTATACTGTCAGCAGTATAATTAACTTACTCCTTCACTCGCCTCATCGGAGTGAAGCTCTCCCGCTCTCCTTCAAAATCTCCTCCAGTCAGACAGCCCTAACAATAAACAAAAGCTTACTACCTTGTTTGTTGATTTGCCAGGGGTGTCACCGAGAATAATTGCCAGCGCATCCTCCACCATAACTGTAAGGGGTATACAGTCAAAGACCCAGAACCAGATATGAAGAATGAAGACCCGGAGTCAGAATTATAAAAAATTAAAGAAAAGTTTTACTGAAGATAGTTTGCTATCTTTACTAATGGCGATAGGCACCCCTATCTCCTCACATGTGTTAAATTGTTTAGGCTTTCATGTTTCTTAGCCAATGAGAATCATTCAACCTGTAAGCAATGACGTGGCTTAGACCTTGGAAATGGTATAACTGCTGTGATCTTTGTAACTGTAAGCGGGGCGGCCTACGAACTCCTGTGTGAGTCTTGAAGCTGACTTCTCCTGATGAAAATGCTGTCGTCCACTCATTGGATTTAGGTCTGTGGTGGCCTCGCAGGTTAGAGAAGGGCGCCGGGGTGTCTGGTCCGACCGTCCAGAACCTACATAGAATGTCATACGCACACACACACAAATAACAGACACTAGCAAATAACAGCTCCCATCAAGGCTGAAGAGAGTCTGAGCTCCTTATTATCAGTTAAGTATACCAAAACATAATGCTAAAACATTCACTCGTTTGGGAGAAAAACAGATCACTGGCATTTACTCCCAAGGAAGGAAATATACTGGAAAGAATACATTTTAATACAACAATTAAAGTTTGATAGTAACGCTCAATATAGCTTGACCATATGTCCAGCGAAGAATCATATGTGCCCACGCTGCCTTTAGGACCCTCTAACCTTTCTACTGATCCCAGAGAAAGAGACAAACGGCCTTGTGGGTTACGTGGCCTTCGTGTCCTGCGTGTACTACGTGCAATCTCAAAGTAAGATTGGAATGCACCTAAAAGAAACTGGTTACTTGCATCCATGCATTTAAGAAAATATAATTTCACAAGCACAAGAATATAAAAATTATTATGTGATAATGAATATCTTTGATTATTGATTTTTATAAAGGAAGTATATAACCATTCAAAATGATATATGATTATATATGTATTTGAAGAGGCAAGGGATTTTGACCAACCCTTCAAAACCATACCACTAGGTTAACAGTATACTACTGTCTACACTGCACTGTCATTTACTATTTACTGTATATACTACACTACATGTCTATACTGTACTTTTTTTGCACTTCAGGTTAGACACTAACTGCATTGAATTGTCTCTGTACTTGTACTCTGCACATTGACAAAAAAGATAAATCTAATCTAATGTAATCTATAGGTGTCTTGACACCTCCCTTATCAATATTCACTGTGTAGGCAACTGACTGAATATGTATCATTACGAAATTCTAAACCATAAGTAATAAAACCACATGAAATTTCTGTCAAAGTATGTCTACTTGAAGTGTCTACTGTGTGTTTTGATAATAAATATTCAATCATTTGGTTATTAATAAATATTTATTTAAACAATAAACACAAACAAAAACAATCCTTCAGCTAAATTATTTAAAAAAAATATTATTACCCCTAGTGGATAAATGAACTTCGTCCCTAAGAAACATTTGAGGCTTGTTAAATACAATTTGAGGGTGATGCACGATACCCCCTGCATTCCCAAGACAAAGGTAGCCATGACACTGTTCACCCATTTACGGGACTTGTCAACTTTCCCCGTAAGACCCGATCTCCAGCAACGTCTCTGGGTGATGTCAGACAGCACGATGGACATCTGAGGGTAATGCCGATGAAGATGTTGCAGATCTCTTTCTGCATCCCAAGTCGTTGTCAGCAGGACATCCGGGGCTGCTTTTCCTCTAAGAGAACGTTAAAAGAGAGGAAGGAGTCTGTGCCATCGAAGTCCACACAGCCAAAACTAGTGTACCTTGGCCCCTATGGTCTCTCGGGCCCTCTCTTCCCCATGACGAATGTAGCTGTAGAAGAAACAAAAATAACTGGATCTGTTAATAGCATAAAGCAATCACAATCAAAACACTGTTTTGTCAGTATCAGTAAACAGATTTTAACACACACGACACAAGTAACTTGTCTCAGGCCATTGATTTCTTTCCATCCAAACAAAAAAGAAAAAAATGTCTATGCAGATATACAATAAAACACAAATTAATTGATTTTTATCTGTTCATTGAAATAATAACATGACAATATAGGTATTACACAAGGTTCATTTATCATTTTATTCTCTCTTACAGTCAATGTGTTGCTTTCCATATTTTATACTATATTTCTAAATTATACATGATTTACCTTTGTTGTCAGCCATGGTGTTAGCTTAAGTGCTTAAGTGCAGTTTGTATTTGAACCTATGAGGAAAGAAAAATGAAAAGGGCAACCATTAGTTATAGATGTTATTGGCCATCTATTATTTACATGTTATTTAACAGGCCAAAACAGAAGCTTTTGTACAAAGCGATTTACTGAATAATTTTTTTATGACTAATTCGTCCATTTCTCTTGCGATAGATCTTTTATTGTCTCTGTATAGATAACAGTTAACGCCGTTTTGTGGTTATATTCGGCGACCATTAACAATATACAACATCATGTGCATAAAGCAATCGTGTTAATTATATGCCCAGCAAGCATGCTATCTTTACCAATGCCTAATTTGACCGTGCAAATTATATTTAAAATATTCACTTCCTGGGCGGTTAAATAAATATGACTCATTTAACTTACATTCGACTTAGCATTAACCTAATATGGCGTACTGACGTTAATTTTTTAAATAAATAAATATTAAGCAAAATGACAAAATAATTAATCAGAATACTTACCAAAAGTTGCTCCAGGTCGCGCTTCGCCGTCTCTGCGAGATTAACGTTAGGTGATTCAGATTTGTCTTGGCACAGCTACTAGAAGATTTACAACTGTCAGTCAGTTTGCTCACGTGACATCTACGTCGTCAAGCTCAGTTTGAGCCTGCGCAGAACGCTTGGCTATCAGGAAGTGAGTGCTCATATCGGGCTTCAAGTCTCTCCGTTGAAATCAACGGGGTCGCTGTGTCCATTTCTTTTACTGTCTATGGTCCATGGGCGTCGGAACCATTGTATAAGGGTGGGACAAGACCCACCGACTTTTTAAGACCAATGATATTGGACCCACTCACTTTTATATAATGTCTGTTCGCTTGTCAGAACGCCGTCAGTCTAATCCATTCCACTTGAGGAATGCCCTAATAAATTAAACTCCATTTCCGCTGATATCGCTACATTATATTTCTCAACGAGCCGCAACTCACGAAAATAACCGGCCGTTGTACCCTTCCAGTCAAATATTGCGTTGCAAACATCAATAACAGCTTTAAGTTATCAATGCTGACAAATGACCATGGTGTCAGCGGGATAATCCATGGATAGCTGTCCATTTAATGACGTGAAGTCGAATTTTGTTTACTTGTTTAATTAAAAGGCACCTGAATACATGAAATGGCATTTACTCCAGTAACATTTTTATGAGGGAGGACCCACCCACTTTTTTTTTGCTTCCGACGCCAATGCTATGGTCTACTGTCAGTTGGAGGGGCGTGATTACGGATGTTAAGCAGAAACCCAAACCGTCAAACCTACGTCATCAGGGAAGGTCCTCCAGCGCAGAGGGGAGGGGACATTTCAGATTTTGATTAAAGATTACGAAGCCAAAAAAAATGTTTGTGTGGATTGACTTGCATGGATGAATTGTTCACCACAAACCGATCAATTTAGGCAAACAAAGTAAGTATGGTCAATTTTGAATTCATGGGGACTTTAATGTCAGTACAGTTAACCACCGCATATATTAGTACATATTTCTGATGATCTGAAGTATGACTATGATCAGAACTCACTGTACTGTAAATATGAAGAAATTACTTAAAAACAGTAAAAACCTAAACAGTAAAACCCACCCCCCCCCCCACACTCATTGTGTAAGGGATAATGTATAACGAGGCGGTTGTTATAGCGAACCCCGACGGGCTGATCAGGAGCCCGACGTGAAGCGGAGGTCTTGAATCAGCCTTAAGGGTATGTATTCACTATAACAACCGCCTCGCTCTACATTATCCCGTTTATTACATGGCTACCTACCAAATAAATCAATAATTGATTTGACACAAAATACTGATTTAAAAACGAGTTTATTGATTTAAAAACGATTGTTTTGCTTCCGCTAAAGAAAATAGTCCATTCTGTCTCTACGTTTAGAATCCATGGCAACGCTCTGTTTTTCATGGCAACGGTGTGTTATACTTAGCAGCGTCTGTTATCAAGAAATAACAGACCACATTCTACAGTAGAATTCAACCAAGCTATGACATGGTTTTTTGTATTGTTTTATTATGTTCCCTTATGTGCAATTATAGTATTACTATAGTTTTTTGTACAACAAAACTTTAAAAATGTAGTGATTTATGACCTTTCCCCACCCTGTTTCTCCCCCTCTGATTCAAACAGTCTGTTTTGGAGGTGTTTCCCCTTTAAGAGTTCAGTGTTAACGCCCATTTGGACCAAAACTCGGGTCTTAGGAGGCTACCGTTAATAATTTATGCATAAGCAGCACTGACGTTAGCCAATCATAACAATGTTATTTACATTAGGATATTTTATATTAATTTTATGGGTTTTGTATGGCAGCCATTGCTGACAGTCATTTGACCTTTTTTTCACAGTGAAGGTGTTTGATCATAATAATTCAGTAAATAACTGTAAAATAACAGTGTTTTTTCTGTAAAACATTTAAGGCCAAAGTTTGGAAAAGTTTTTTGCACTCAATTTAAATTAGGATATTTTACTTTATTTTTATGGTTTTTGTTTGGCAGCCGTAGCTGCCAGTCATTTGACCCTTTTTTTTAACGTTTTTGTTTTTTACAGTGTAAAATAATGTGACCGGTCTTCGTTTAGCTCTGCGTTGTGTTGGTGGATGAACGAGACCGGGCAACAGGAATGACTCAGACCAGATTTTATTCTGCATGAATAAAAGGATAAATCAGTACAGGCTCGAGTCTGTGGCCTTCTCTCACAGTTCAGCCTCTCTTCAGTCGCATTTACCGCGAACTCAAACACATTTTACACTTTTGACATCCTTATAAACATGTATTTCAGTTTCTCATATACTCAAATCGTGTTTGTTCAACAGATTTCATAAAAAAAATAAAAGATTTTACAAATTCAAAACAATATTAACAGAAGCATGAAAGAGAATATACCTGCATGAATAAATGGATAAATCAGTACAAGCTCGAGTCTGTGGCCTTCTCTCACAGTTCAGCCTGTCAGTGAAAGGCATTATTTTAGCCAACAGAGCTTGCACACTCATGCTTAATGAATTCTCTCCGAAAATACATTTATAACTCATCACATCATTCACACAAACTTCATACATGTTTCAATAAGATTAAAGTGCATTTCAAAACAAAATTACATATTGTATTACAATAAACAAAACTCATTTCAAACTTTTTAGACGGAGCATTAACACAACTCACCTCTCTTCAGTCGCATTTACCGCGAACTGAAGGAGAGCAACCGGAACCGGAACATGAGTCTTAAAGGAACCACGCACCGCATTTAACAATGCTGCAAAATGACCACGTAACCATAGAAATATGACATCTCAATTAATAGAGATCAAAATTAGAAGAATAAATTCCAAAATACAAAATAATGAAAGAAATTATAACAAAAGGGAGATATTTTGAGTGAAATTAATAAATAAATATCACACCCGTTACAATAACATCTGCATTTTTATTTTACAGATATTATTTGAAAACCTTTTCATAAATGGTTCTACAAAGAACCTAATAAAGTGACATGAAGAACTGTTATAGGTTCTTTACAGAACCTTTGAGAAGGGTTCTTTGCAGTACTGAAAAAGGTTCTTTATGGCACTAAGAAAAAATAGGTTCTTCAAGGAACCTTTCAGTGAAAGGTTCTTTGGGGAACCAAAAAAGGTTCTTCTATGGCATCGCTGTGAAACCCCCTTTTTGGTTCTTCCTGGCACCTTTATTTTTAAGAGTGTAGGACCCCTCAGCCATATTCGCCACATTGCAAGATCTGTCAGTGGACATAAGAGTTCTGCCATTGGGATATCAAGGCCCTTCCTCCTTAGGATTTTAAGAAGTGCAGACAGCGCTGTTTGTGGTATGTTGAATTCTGCAGCCCACTCTGCAAGCCCACGTGAATCATCATCATCATTATAATCTTCCAAGTCAGAACATTCATCTCCATGCAAATCACAGTCACTTTCACAACCAGGCATATCACCTGGCACCCAGTTTTCAGAATCCAAATCATCAAATGAGGAAATGTTAAAATCATAAAAAGAATCTGAGGAATTTTGATCTTCTAAATCATTTGACTCAAAACAGTTCTGATCACACGCATCGTAGAAAGTGTCTGTGGAATCTTCGCTTTCAGGATGCTCTAACAAATCATCCAGTGGGTATTCCTTTTCAGAATCGTGTCCCGACAAATCATCAATCATAGACTCCTTTTCAAGGAGACGCAAATGTTCCTCCACTTTCGCTGATATTTTCCTTCTTTTAGTTCTTTCTGAACACTCCATTTATTCTATAAAAAAAAAGAAAAAAAAGCATTTTAGTTTTTAGTTATGATTACAGGGGATCGGGAATGACAAACTCTCAGGGGTTCCCAAACTTTTCCATTCCAGGACCCACCTAGACAAGAATAATCTATCTCAAGACCCACCAAAATAATTTTAAGCATGAATGTGGGGTGGGGTGGGAGGCGTTAGATCTCTTTAGAGCAGTTTTTTCCTTATAGTATGAAAGACATTTAAGTTTAATTGCAATACAAACTTATGGTACATTATCAAATAAATGTAGAATTAAAATAGCAGCTTAATGGCTGTTGAAATAAAGTGAAGAATGAGTAGTTCTTGTCTGCTGCCTCAACTAATTTACCCAGACATGGCAGAACAAATCTAAAGAAATGAAAGATTAATATAACAACAAATAATTTTCATTTTCAAAATTATTTTATTTGACAGTAGGCCCATGACCTAGAATTTCAATACTAATATTTATGCTGCAAGTGTTGTTAAACTCATCACGTTGTTCAGCGCAGAAAACACTTTCGTCTTCGTGTGTGTACATGTGAAATACGTTTTACATAAATACTTTCCTTTCATGTTAGGTAGCAAAATGCATGCGAGGGAATGCAAACAACGCACTCTTACTAAGACCATATCTCTGAAATACAACAGCGGAACAGACGACAGATTAATGCGTTTCTCAAAAGGATCGTATGCCTAGTAGATCTCTACAAGGTCTCTACAATCAACTTAAGCCTAGTTCACACTACAGGATTTTAAGCCCGATTTAAGCCCGATTTGCAAATCGTTGAGCTCGCCGACAGGTCATGGTGTTATCGCGTGCAAATCGTGGGGGATTAGCGGACGATGAACGCTTGCCAATCTGTTAGTATGAAAGAGCCAACAACGCAGCGAAGACGCTCGCAGACGCGTCGCCGAGCCCAGAAAAATATCTAGCATGCTAGATATCCAGAGCTGTCGCGCGACTCAACCTCAGTGATGTCATGAGCTCCAGCCAATCAGAGCAAGGCATGGTTTGAGGTCACCGGGTAAATCTTTTTTTTTTTTCTTATGAATTTTTTTCTCCGAGCAAATCATCGTGCGAACAGTTTGAAGCACTAGTTTCTGACTGACAACGTCAATATTCGCGTGTTGTGTTCTTCTTTTATTCGCTGGGTCTTGACGCACGTGCTGTTTTGCCTCATTTCCGGTTCGTCTTATCGTGTGATTTTTCGTGACAAAACATGGTTTGTAGACAAGATAGAATCGTTGGGTGACAGAGTCGTTGTCAGCTCGTGTAGTGCGTTACCCCCTGTTGCGGATCAATCACGTTGTGTCGTGTGGTGTGAACAGCTCAACAACTTGAACACTCCTGATTTCACAGAGAGCAAGTCATGTAGTGTGAACCGCACAGTTCAGCCCGACGTTTTAAAATCATGTAGTGTGAACTAGGCTTTAGCTCACGATGACTTTGGTAAACGTAGCCC